GGATTGGAGGAAGATTAATCAACAATCTGTGTTATGCAGATGACACAACCCTGCTTGCTGAAACTGAGGAGGACCTGAAGCGCTTGCTATAGAAGGTCAAGGACTGCAGCCTTCAATATTGATTGCATCTCAATATCAAGAACACAAAGATTCTCACCACTGGGCCAATTGGCAGCATCATGAAGGGTGGCAAAGGGATCGAGACTGTTAACAGCTTTAGTTTGCTTGGCTCCACAGTCAACACTCTTGGCACCAGCAGCCAGGATATCAAAAGACATATTACAATGGGATAGTTTTCTATTAGAGAACTCTACAAAGTACTGAAGAGCAATGATGTCACTCTGGATTCTAAGGCTCACCTGATACAGTCCATGGTCTTTGCAATCACTTGCTGTGCATCAGAGAGCTGGACAATGACTAGGGATGATGAAAGGAGAATTGACACCTTTGAGCTGTGGTGTTGCAGAAGAGTACTGAATATACCATGGACTGACTGTTAAGAAAATGAACTAGTTTAGCCTAGAGAGGGTTAAACCAGGCTGCTCCTTGGAGGCAATGATTCTGAAGCTTTGTCTGATATACTTTGGACATGTTGCAAGGCGGGACCAGTCCTTGGAGAGGAATGTCATGCTTGGGAGGGTGGAGGGACAGATCAGGAGAGGAAGACTCTCTATGAGGTAGATTGATTCAGTGACTGGGGTAATGGGGATGGGTGTGTCAGAGACAGTGAGATTGACACAAGATAGAGCAGGGTTTAGGGCTGTTGTACATAGGGTCGCTATGAGTCGCAGGTGACTCAATGGCACATAACAACAACAATACATTGCATAGGAGGAGTTGCCTGTCTTATGCCCTCAGAGAGGCTGGTAGATTTGACCCTCTAAAGAGATGTACCTTTGGCTAAGCAGCACAGTTCCCTATGGACGACACAACCAGAACACCCTTCATAATACTCAGGCCACTGATTACAGTTGTCTTATAAACATGGAGGATTTCAAAGTGGATGGGATTGAAATACTTTTAAGACTTTTTAAAAAATGGTGGTTACTATGATCAAACTTTACTTTTAGATTATAATTTGGAAAAACTGATGAAAATAGGCAAGCAGCTGTGTGTTTGCAAGATATCTACCTATTGTTCTGAAGAAGAGACTTAATATCATTTTAGCAAATAACTATCGGGAAGGGAAAAAAAAGAACAGTAATTTTTTAGATAATTATGCTAGGATTTCTAAGTGTGTGATTATAAACCACTAATACTCCAAAGTTTTACACAAAAGAGCAACAAACCAATTTATCACAAGACAATGAACAAGAATCTGTAAGAAAATTATTATGAGAAAAGTCTAGGTGAGAAGTCAAGGAGGTAAAGATAAAGGGAGAGTAAGTAGTTCTAGGTTTTACAGAACTTTTTATAACCCAACCCTTGAATAGGATTTCACAAAAAAAACCTTTTCCCACAGGCATTATTCCCAAGCTATTTGAGACAGATGGTACAGAAATAGTCAACCCTTGGCATAGCACTAAAGCTCTGCCGTTATCTTAGTCTTAGTTGCAGTTGCTTTTGCCTTTGAGCTGTAAATGGCATGGGAGGAGCTTGAGTGCCCATCTTTTTCTTTTCCCACGGGGTTTACTGTTTCTGATAACCTGCTGGAGGGTCAGTGATCAGTCAGTTCCAACTCAAGAGTAGAAACCAAGATGCCTCTCCAGGCAATGAAGTGAGGAATCTAACTAAAAATTTCCCCAGATCACAAACTAAACATATGGTAGGACCAGAGCTGAACACTAGTTCCACAGCTTCAGGTCATCTGAAGAAATCACCTGTCTCCTTCAAGGGCTGGGTTAATTGTCATATATCCACAGATGCTTAAAAAGTGAGTGCCGTTCTAGCACAAAATCACACAACCCAAACCCACAGACACATAGAATGAGTACTCAAACAGGAAATACAGAGATGTTAGGAGAAAGCAGGCATCATAAGTGAGCTGAAATCCCAGGTTCAGTGCTCACACTGCTCCTTCACTCCCTGGGAGATCATGGGTAAGTCAGTGACTTGTCAGTGAGTACCAATTTCTTTACCTCTGACATGCTACAGAAGTATTAGTGGTTGCCTTCTAGTCAAGCCCCTTTCAATGTCAAGGATTAGAAATATCATATATTTTTTTCACCTTTGAACTTCCCCATCTAGGCATGGATTTCGCTGAAGAGTCTGGTGTACAGTCGGTGTTCACAGGGGATGATCTCTGCTGAGCTCAGGTTTAGTATAATCTGCGCATGACGGAGCAGGAGGGGGAGACAAAGGCTCTCCCACTCATTCTTGGTTTAGATAGGCAAACGGCCTCTCCTCTGCATAATACGAGTGAAATGCGCCACTTCTCTCCATGTTTGTTCGGTTTTAATACTCTCCTACAGATTTCAGCTGTGAGCCGCCACTGAGCGAGTAATCAACACACGGCGGCCCCGTACACGGGAATGTGCTGCCATGATGCACACAGCTCAATGGCCAATTTTGAGAAGCAGATTGCCAGGCCTTCCTTCCTAGTCCTTCCTGACCTGCTCTCCCTGTGGACACCTGTCCAGCATCTCAGCAACCACCAGTGGCAGGTAGGTAGAAGCTGCTCCTGAGCTGCACAGGCTGGGAATCGAACCTGAGTTTACTGCATGGAAGGAATGAATTCTACCACTGAATCTCCACTAGCAAAGATGTACATTACGGACCTTTCACTACAGTTTTCCAGGGACCTCTGGTGGCCTAATGGGTAAGGAGCTGTGCTTCTAACACAAAGGCAGAATCTAAATCCACCAGCAGCTCCACCAGAAAGTGATGAGCAATCTCCACCCTTGAAAGTTACAGCCTCTGAGCACCAGCTGGAGGCCAGCTATGAACTGGCTCAACTCAATGGCAATGAAGAGGGTTCCCACCCCTGCCTCGAGAATCCAAACTGTAGCTAAAATAAAATTTTTACAAAAGGGTGAAAAACCATGTTATGTAAATAATAAAAACAAATTTTCAATTCACTTAAAAGGAAGTTTTATATGAAAGGAGGGAACTTAGCACTTCACTTGACAAGGGTAGACAAGGTCCTCAGGCCTTAAAACACACACATGGTTAAGGCACTGCTACCCACTTAAAGAAAAAAGAGAGAAATTATATAGATTTCTACATATATAAATACATTTATGTACATATACATACATACATGTAAAATTTGACATTCTAACCTCTACAACTTTAACTAAATAACGCAACCTACTTGGGGTCTGGGAAGCATTTCCCTCAGACATGGTCCATTGGTGAAGTGACACTTGCCCCTTTGAAGTCACACAAGGTGGTTTGTCCCCATGTGTCTGCTTTATGGGAGAAGGAAGCCCTTTTCTCAGTGGTCTGCAATTGGTCTCAAGTCTTGCCGCTGAAGTTGACCCCCAGCCATCTGGAGCAGGGGTCTGTGGGTGGCAAGTGTTGTGTGCACTGCCCATAGATGCATCTTCACTGTCTGTCTGCAGCAAGCACTTTGTGGAGAGAGAGGGCACAGACAGGAGACTGTCCCCTTGTAGGCCTGCTGGGGGACTGACACGTTCGTGGGCCCTGGAGGCGCGCTGGAAGATGCCCTCTCTCTTCTTCTTGTCTTCCTTGAGCAGCAGTTCATCAGGCCCTTGCCCCAGATCTCTGATGTCCAGCCCCAGAGCCACAGAGGCCAGCAGCACAGTGCACTTGTACAGAGCCGACTCCGTTTTCTTTCTCTGGGGTGCTCTGCTCAGACTGTTTGGAGGAGTCACCTGAGGGGTGCTCGAGGAGGAGCCGGCAGAGCCTCCCTCCTCAGAGCTGTCAGGGGCCCCAGCCTTCTCCCTGGGGTCATCTTTGCAAGGAGGTAGATCGATGCAGCCTTGGGGGGCCAATTTCATGAGCTTTGGTTTTCGGTTTTCCAGGCCATCAGGGGAGGGCTTCAATTCTTCATGAGCACCTGAGTAAAGGCAGAAACATGCATGGGTTTTTACTAGTCATTCTAGCTTACAGTGCAGATCCTTGGGGGGAGAAAAGCCAAAACCTAACAAGTAAGGAGTCTCAAGCACAATGGATGAAGTCCTTCTCAGCTCAGCACATGATGTAGCCAGGAGGCTGAGGAGCCAGCCCTCATGCCTGCCTGGTCAGGGTCTCTATGAGGGACCAGCGAGTAAGACACCTGCTGGTTTCTGTCACACATGAAGCCATTCTTCATTGTTAGGAACGACAGAGAACCAAGTCAGTGAGACCCACAAGTTCACACACAGTGTCTCACACACAGTCACACACACACAGTCACACACACACACACACACACACACACACACACACACACGCACTACGACATGTTCTTAAAAACACGTCCTCCCCCGTTCTACACAAACTGTCATCATTGCTGTAAGGGGCCATCGAGTCAACTACTCATACTGACCCTGTGAATAAGAGATCTGCACCCTGCTCCATCCTGCACCACCCTCACCATCACAGCCACACCCAAGCCCACTATTAGAGCCAGTGTTACGCCATCTCTTTGAAGGTCTTCCTCTCTCTGACCCTTTACCTTGGTCTTTTGCCACGGACTGTTCCCTTCTGGCAACATGCCCCACGTATGTGAGAGGAGCTATTAGACATCATTATCTACAGCTAGCCTGGGTTAGAAAGCCTGCATACGCAACAGGTGCCTGCTTCTCGCTGCTCTGTCCTCATTGCCGTATCTATCATGCCTGCAACTAGTAGTAGAAATAGAAATTCTTTTTGCATTTCTTTTTTAAGCAAAAAGCTCCAGAAAATCCAGTTTCATGTGTTTTGACAACCCTTTACTAACATTTGGCCACCAATGCAATACATAAAGACTCTCTTCACAAAGTTCAACCAGGTTCCAAAGCATAGTGTGGCTAAAGAGAAAGCTATGATTCTTTCCATCATTTGAAAGTGAAAATGAAATGAATGAAAATGAATGCACTCACTTAAAATTCCCTCAGCTGGTTTCAAGCAGGCTGTGTGCCTCAAACAAATAAAACTTGAACCCCCTGCCCTTGACCCAAAGAGCTATCTGTACAACCTATGGAGCTGGCTTTTCTCCACTTACTCACAATCTTTCCCATCAATGCCTATTGTCCAAGTGCCTTCTTTTTCTTCTTCAATTATCCTTTAACATGTCTTCATTGTGATTTGAGTGAAAGTTTACAAAGCACTCTGAGGTTTTAAAATCAATTATTCATGCCTATTTTGTTGCAAACATTAATTACAACACACACAATGGCTGAGTGTTCACTCATTCCATAATGTCTTTCCCTTCACCCATCCTAATAAGTGTTTGTTGTCTCTGAATTAATTTTTCTACTCCATACTCCCTTCCTCTCCCTGGTAACAACCATATTGTTGCTGCTGTTGTTAAGTGCCATCGAGTCGTAGGCAACTCATAGCGACCCTATGAATGAAAGTCCTGGACACATGTATAACTTTTATCCTTTCTCCAGGTTTATAGGGTTTCCAGAGGCAAGCTATTATGTAAGTGAATGCCACTCCTGCTTCCAAGCTTGTTTTAATTGGGGAGCTCCACCTAACACTGTCCACCATGGGTAACTATTCTCGCATTTGACTCATCAGTGTCACAGTGTTCGGCTTCATAGCAACCACGAGTTACCTCTGTACAGCAAGTGGACATATCAGGGTTATACAACCTAGAAGAATGTTTCACCTGTAACAATTAAAGGCAGGCCTGAGGGCCGCGGAGTAGAGTTACCTATCTTTGGCTTGGGAGCATGACTTTCTGTTCGCTAGGCCGACTGCTTTCTCTCTATGCACAACCATATTAAATTGATTTTTTTTCTGTATGTAAACCTTTCTCTAGTTTTGTTTTTGTTTTTTTATAACAGTGGTTTTCTATAGTAGCTGACTGAATTCACTTGGCATAATATCCTCTAAGAAAGTTCTGTTGGCTGACTGACAAAGGGTTGTGGTGCCAACCCAAAGGTAAATGGTTCGAATCCATCAGCTGCTCATAGGGAGACAGATGGTCAATCTGTTCCTATGCAAGCCTCTAAAACCCTACTGGAGGGGCAACTATGAGTCAGTTATGATTTACAGCCTTTGAAAACCTGCTGGAAAGTTAGCTATGAGTCAGTTATGATTTAATGGCAAACAACATCCTCTAGACTCATCCATGTTGTGTAGTTTTCCAACACTACCTACCCAAATTCCACTGTCCCTTTAAATATTTTCTCAGCATTACCTGTGCCTACAGCCTGCCCCTGTCCATCTCCCCACCTGTAACCACAATCCACTTCCTGAGGTGCCTCAGGAGCCTTGCTCTGGCATCCTTTCTGTTGATATTCAGCTTCAGGTACAGCTGCAGATGGGAGCCTTCTAGGCCATGTTTCCTTCCTTTATCACCTTCTGAGTGGTCTTCCCTGAACAGCACCCTCATCAAAATGGACACTGAATACATTCTGGTCACTTGAAAGCACAGCTTATGTAATAATAACAGAAAATTATCTATTCTGATTAGAAAAAGTGAGGACAATCTTTGGACTCTGGCCTTTTAGGAGGAGATTCTCTTCTTATTACACACAGATATTATGGAGGCTAGTTAAGGACATTTAATAGTAATAAAACTAACTATCCTCCCAGAATAATTTTTGCTGTTGTTATGTGCTGAATTCCAACTGACTCATAATCAACTGTTCTAACGGAAATTCAGAGGCTGTAAATTACAGGGGAGTTTATCCATCTTTTTCTCTGTGCAGGAGCTAGAGGATTTGAACTGCTTGCCCTTGGGTTGGCTGCACAATTCCTTACCATGAGCCACCAGATCTTCCTTCTGTATGTCACTCTTGAGCAGTAAAATCTCTATTATCCCTAAGGTGGTCATGGCTTTACATGGACCAAAGCATAATATTTTCATCTAATCATTGACTAAAAGCCAAGGTAATTCTATTTAGCATCTACAGAAGGTTAGATAGTCCTTTCAGGAAGGACTTCCTGAAATGTACTTACCTGGCTGGTCCACAAATAATGAAGCCAAGGGCATAGTTTTCTGGTTTTTTATTAAGATTGTTGACCAAGGGCTGTTGCCATCTGACAGAGGTCTTATTCTACAAAAGAAAGATGTTAATTTTGGTATATAAATCAGGCTTTGGTGGATACATGGCAATTACAATCTTCCTTTTTTTAAAAATTATACACTTTTTACGTTAGTGATGAGAACATGTATGTCGCCAGAGTTTTAAAGGGCTCATAAAGTACACAGAAAATCTTAAAATTTGAAAAAAAAATTCATCAGGGACTTTTAAAAAGTGCTTGTTGTTGTTATTATTAGGTGTTACTGAATCAACTACAACTCATACCAACTCTGAAAAAAGATCTGAACCCTGCCCTATCCTGTACCTTCCTCACCATCACTGATATCCTCGAGTCCACTGTTACAATCCCTGGGTCAATATATTTTGTTGGGGTCTCTTGATATTTCTCTGACTCTTCTGACTCTTTCTCTTACTCTCCACCTTTCTCAGCATGATGTTTTTCTCCAAGGACTGGTCCCTCCTGACAACATGCTCAAAGTATGTGAGATGAAGTTTTACCGTCCTGGCCAGCAAGGAACATTCTAATTGCACATCCTCTAAGACAGACTTAGTGTACCTAAATAATAATTAGTATGATAAGCTCATGCTTATACTATAATATTTACCCATCATGGACAGTGTTTGGAGGAGCTTCCAGATTGATTCAGGTTTGGAAACAGGAATGGCATTCACTTCCTAAAACAGATGCCTCTGTAATCTCTGTAAACTCTTTAAACTTTATCAACAAAAAGAAATGATGATAATTATAGAACAGAGTTCAGGTCTTTTGTTCATAGGGTTGCTATGAGTTGTATTCAAACTGACAACACTTAACCACTGCTAAGTGAGACTAGTGTTGTTATATTTTGGAGGAAAATTCTTCTACTTTGAACATCACTCTTTGCCAATTTGCTGTACTGAGGTAATTTGAGTTTGCTGTGATGGTGAATCTTGTGCCATTTGGGTATGAAATGCCATAAAGTTTTCCCAATGTGGAGAGTGTTTGGTAGAGCTACCAGTTGTAAAACAGGTTTGGAAGCAGGAGTGGCATCCACTTCCTAAACTAGGTCTATAGAAACTTTATGAACTTGGAGAAACAATGACAGTTTTAGAAAGATATTAGATCTTTTGTTCATGGAGTCACTATGAATTGTGTTCTACTTGACTGCAATAAACAACAACAACAAGCTCATGCTAAAAATGAAATCAGACAATGCTCCATAGCTATTCACAGACCTTTCAAGGGCCCATCACCCTCCAGAGTGGATGAACTGCCCTGCTTCCTAGTCTTAAAACTGGAGGCTCCACTGAAAACTGTCCCTGGGTGACCCTGTTGGGAATTGAAATACTGGTGGCAAAGCTTCCAGCATCACAGCAACACACAAGCCATTGAATTTTCAGTTGACTTATGAAGACAGAGGAAGAACTGATGCCTTAGCATCAGGGTTATGTACTAACGATCCCATGCATTGTCCAAAGAACCAACCAATCTGTCTTGGAGGAAGTGTAGCCAGAGTGCTCCTTAGAAGCAAGGGTGGTGAGACACCATGCTTGAGACAGTAGAGAGAGGGTCAGTGGAAGAGAAGGCACACAGTGAGATGAACTGACATGGTCACTATAACAATGAACATAAACAATGGCTACTGTGAGAGAATGGTGCAGGATTTCCTTCTGTTGTACACAATACAGAAAAATAACAATCTAACAATAGAGAACAAAATTAAGATTCAAGCCTCTCTCTATTAAAATCTGCATAAAAGAGAGCTCTGTTTACTGGCACACTGAAAAAACTCCAAGACAAGAATGCTAGGAAATGGTAGTGGTCATCACAATCACACCTTTCTTTGCAGTTGGTCCTGTCTTTCGTCTGAATTGAATTTGGCCCCCAGGTACAAACTTTTTTCCTGAGATTCCTTTTTACATCTTCAAGTTCCTCATGGCGACTCACAGTGTTCCTTCCCCAAGGTTTATTGCTTTCATCAGAAGTCACTAGAGAAAGAGAGTACCAGTCAGTAAGTAACCAGTATTGGTCACATAAAAAGAGTTACATGACAGTGTAGCAGTCACCTGTGATGTTATGAATCCAGTCAATTAACTAGGTAACTGCCTTAAAAATTTCTTAGTGTGAATCGAGATTTCTAGTCCCGTTGCCGTCTGCTTGTGCTGGGAACTCCAGCCCAGTTGCAGATGCCCCGAGGCTGGATACTCAGACCTGGTGCCCATGTCTCTCACCTGGAACTCTGGCCCTAGTCCCATTCACAACACCCCATGCCCAGAATCCCGGTACCGATGCCGATGCCCCACACTGGAAACCCCAGTCCCAAAATCAATTCCCCACACCTGGAACCTCAGCCCCAACACCCCATGCCTGGAATCCTGGTTCCCGATGTCCTGCACCCAGAACCCCAGTCCTGACGGCCTGTGCCCAGAACTCTGGTCCTGATCCCAATGTCCCATGCTGGGAGCTCAGGTCTTGATGCTCACGCCAGGAGCTGACGTGCAACAGAAGCAATGCTGGAACTTGAGTGAGGTACTTTGTGGGGAGCCACTACTGTTTGGCTGGAACACATGGGACCACTTAAGTTCAATCAGAAGGGAACGAGATAGCTAGAGCTTGTTCTTGAAGGGAAAACCAAGGCTTCCTGGTTTTCCAAACAGGTCCCCACACTCCACCTTGCATCTCCTCATGTTCAGCCCATCAATCACCTTTAGCCCAGAACACCTTGGACTACCTTACATGCAGCAGTTGTCTGACAGAAGGGCTGCCTCCACTGGCCTTTTCTACTGAAGTGAAGCATATTTTCAGAAGGGCCAGAAGGCAGAGAGAAACCCAGACAGCATGGCTGTACCACCCACCCTCTTCTAGAGTAGTGACTTCAGATCAAGAACCTGCTATCGCCTCAGACATGGAAAAACTCTACCACAGCAATGTCACATAGGAAGCAGGCTGCCTCACTCCCTACACATGTCCAAAGCAAGATGTCAATCCCAAAAAGTGACATACTATCAATGGATTTCCTGAAGCCAGAAATTTTGATGAAACTTTCTGACACAGAATTTAAAAGAACAATGACTGAATAATTTCAATGGGTGAAAGACAAACCTAAAGAATTACAGGTCACTGCAAGCAAAAACCAGGAAGAGCTTAAAAAAACAATCCAAAACAATGCAGATAAAACAAATGAAGCATTAGAGGCTCTGGAAAAACAAGAAACCACAATCCAAAATATGAGGACTAATTTTTCAGATGCTGTAAACATGATGGAGGGACACATGAACAGGGCTGAAGAGATGGAATACAGACTAGTGAAATAGAAGAGAAAATTGTCACCATGGATCTGCTAGAACAAAAAGTAGAATAAAAAAAGAAAGGAAAAAGAAGAAAACTTAAGAATAATGTGAGACACATAAAGCGAAATCAATTGGATTTCTCTACAGTGACAAAGAGAATATAGAATTGGAGATCAGAAAGACAATACCTATCATATTAGCTAACCACATGATTGAATACTTGGGAGTGTATTTACCAAGAAATGCAAAGGATCTATTCAAAGAAAATTACAAAACATTACTACAAGAAACAAAAAGAGACCTGGAGAAATGGAAACATATACCTTGCTCATGTATAGAAAGGATAGAAAGGTTCAATATTATAAAACGTCAATCCTACCAAAGGCAATCTACATGTTCAATGCAATTCCAATACAAATACCAATACCATTCTTCAACAAGGTGGAAAAGGCAATCTCCAATTTCATTTGGAATGAAAAGAGACCCTGAATAAGCAAAGCACACCTTAAAAAGAGAAACAAGGTAGGAGGCATCTCACTCTCTGACTTCAAATCCTACTACACTGCCATGGTGTTCAAGACAGTGTGGTTATTGGTACAATGACAGACACATAGATCAATGGAAAAGAATGAGAACCCAGGAATCAGCCCATCTACCTATGGTCAACTGATTTTTGACAAGGAGATGAAATCAGTTAAGTGGGGAAATGACAGACTTTTTAACAAATGGTGTTGGTATAACTGGAAAACCATCTGCAGAAAACTCAAACAGGACCCACAGCTCACACAATGCACAAAACCCAACTCAAAGTGGATCAAGGACCTAGAACTAAAACCAAGGACTATAAACTTCACTAGGGAAAAGCTTGGAAGAACCCTAAAAGCACTAATCCAAAACATGAACAGTCTTCCAAGCATCCTGAAAAACCTACAACCAGGAGAGGATAAAATAGATGAATGGAACCTTCTAAGAATCAAATCCCTATGCATACCTAAAAACTTCTCCAAAAGGGTAAAAATGGAAGCCATAGACTGGGAAAAAATACTTGGTAATGACATGTCTGATAATGGACTTATATCTAGAATTTATAGAATACTCAAGTGCCACAAGATAAAGAGAAACAACCCAACTGCAAAATGGGCAAAGGATATGAACAGACACTTCAAAAAACAAGACATTCAGATGGTGAACAAACGTATGAAGAAATGTTCAAAATCTCTAGCTCAAAGAGAAATGCAAATCCAAACAACTATGAGATATCATCTCACCCCAGTAAGAACAGCAAAATTCATCAGAGCAACAAACAACAAATCCTGGCAAGGTTGTGGAGAAATTGGAGCCCTTATTCACTGTTGGTGGGAGTGTAAAATGGTGCAACCACTATGGAAGGCTGCATGGCACTTTCTCAAAAAGTTGCAAATAGAAATACTATTTAAGCAGTAATTCCACTACTGGGAATATACCCTAAAGAAACCATAACTGTCACCCAAGCAGATATATGAACACCCATATTTATTGTGGTTTTGTTCACAATAGCAAAGAGTTGGAAACAACCCAAGTGCCCATCAACAAATGAATGGATAGAGAAGTTGTGGTATATTCACACAATGGATTATACAACACTGTAAAAAAAAAAGAACTCATGAAATATTATAAAAAAATGGGTAATCATGGAGGATATTATTCTGAGTGAAATATCTCAGTCACAAAAATACTTTAATCAAATCTATTAAAGTTTTGAACTTGAGGCACAATAGTTTATAGTAAAATAGCAATTGAAGAAGATTTTTCTTTAGTCATCATACTTTGTCACAGCTATCTTAATAGCCTGGTTATAAATGTCTTTTTAAAATCACAATTATAAAAACTATTTGACAATTCTCTCACTCTTTGCACTGCTTTAGAAGAAGGTCAATTTCCCATGGAATGTCCATAGCCTTCACATAAGTATGTCAGCGTATGCTACCCTGACAGTCATCAGGTGCATTTAGAATAGATTTAAAAATCACTGGGGAAGGAAAAGTGCTATGAATAAATGCACTGGGGGAAACGGGCTTCTATCTAGGACTGTACAGATTCATCAGCCATTCTGAAGGAGGAAAATGTACAGTCCCCTCCCTACGAATCTAAGGCCTTGGAAACTTGAGTGAGTACAGAATAAGTAGCTAAAAAAACCCTCATGGCTGACAAGTTGACAGCAACTAATAGCTGACCTCCCAGTGGGTTTTCAGAGTCTGTAAATTACACAGGAAGTGACTGTCCATTCTTCTTCCGAGGATTAGGGGGTGGATTCAAACTATCAGAGAGGTGCCTCCTTTGCACTAGCAGTATAACCTATCACCTAAACTCAGTTTAAAATGTTATGATGCCTGTGCTCTATGATCTAGGTACTGCTGCCCTTGAACCTTTCTGACTGTAACATATCGAGATGGCTTGGGATTTCATAAGCCAAAGGGGATCAGGCATGGATCAGAGGAAGTTTCCAGAGAACAATATATTCCTGCACTCTATGATTGAGGTACTTCTGCACTGAACCCTCCTGACTGCAACACACAGAAAAAGCTTGGGATTTCTTAAGCCAAAGGGGAACAGAAGTGGACTCGCTTCAGTTTTCCAGAGAACAAGACCCACTCCATATCAGACGCTCAGGTCAAAAGAGAAACACCAATATATAGGTCCTTCACAAAACATTGTACTCTCCTGGGATATTATACACTTATAACAACCTAACATCTACCAAGAAAAGATTCACAGTGTTAAGGTGCAGCAGGTAGCACCAAACATCATGAAAAAAAACAAAATAACTCTTCTGCTAAAAAAATATTGAGAGCACACTGAAGACCAAATGAACACCCTAGACTTAGAGAACCAGTAGGAACTTGTTGATGCAGATGAAAGAAAACAAAGGCCAGCTGAGGATCCTGTACCCAGCAAAGCTGTGCATCAAATATGAAGGAGAAATTAGGTCATTCACAGAAAAGAAGGTATTTAAGGAATTTGTGAAAAGAAGACTAAAATTACAAGAAATTTTAAGGAAAGTCCTTCACACAGAGACACCAAAGAAAGTGAATGGACTATAATAACAAGAAACACTGTAAAATAACAATGATAAAACCTGACCTGTCAATAATAACACTCAATGTGAAAGGTCTAAATGTGCCAATTAAGATAAAAAGAATGTTGTTGTTGTTGTTGTGTGCCGTCGAGTTGCTTGCAACTCATAGCGACCCTATGTACAACAGCCCTAAACTCTGTTCTGTCCTGTGCCAATCGCATTGTCTCCGACACAGACATCCCGATTACCACAGACATTGAATCAATGCATCTCCTAGAGGGCCTTCCCCTCCTGTGCCTGCCCTCCACCCTCCCAAGGACGATGTCCTTCTCCAAGGACTGGTCACGTCAGACGAAGCCTCAGAATCCTTGCCTCCAAGGAGCAGTCCGGTTTAACCCTCTCAAGAATGAATCTGTTTGTTTTCTTAGCAATCAATAGTACCTTCAATACTCTTCTCCAACACCAAAGCTCAAAGGCATCAATTCTCCTTCTATCCTCCTTAGTCATTGTCCAATTCTCTGACGCATAACGAGTGACTGCAAAGGCCATGGCCTGCATCAGACACACCTTAGTCTCCAGAGAGACACCATTGCTCTTCAGTACTTTGGAGAGGTCCCTAACAGCAGACTTTCCCATGGCAATA